TTAGGGTTTAGGGCTTAGTGTTTTGGCGTTGGGGTTTAGGGGTTTAGGGTTTAGGGTTTGGGGGTTAGGGTTTAGGGTTTAGGGTTAGGGTTGAGGGTTTAGGGTTTACAAGACAGGGGCCTGAATGATGACCCATACTATTCCTTATTGTAGATATAGTATATCATAGATGTTGTTATTCACTCTTAGAAAGCATGAATTAAACAGATTGTAAACTGTTGAGAATTCAAGAAAATATGTCTAATACATGTAAATGATTGAGAAAGAAAATGATGGTAGAAACGACGGTGCGTTTCACATACGCAAAGATGGTTTAAATAATCTTCCTTGTCGGTGTAGGCGTAGTACTTTACATAAAGAGACCAAAACAACAACAAATAAATAGATTGAAGTAGTGGTCAATCTTAATGAAGATCGAGGTAGTTTTCGTATTGGTCGTGGTGTTACTCCAGAAGGACAAAACATATGAAAAACAAACGAAACCAGTATTCAATCCCGCGATTTATCCATAGCAAACACAGGAGTGGGACAAACAGGAAGAACATTTGCCCGAGAAGAAGGAGAGGATAGAATAGAAGCATTAGACAAACAGCTAGAAGGACTAAAAAAGTTTTATCAATTAGATAAAATGGGTTAATATATAAAGATGAATTGATCTTGTGTCTGTTTTGGCAGATTGCCGCCCAACATTGCGCCGCGTGCTTACCATAAGTGCATCAACAGGGTGTGGCAACGGTTACAGTTTCCAACTAGTTTCGTTCCATTTCAGAAGCAGGAAGTTTACCCCAGCACCCAGAAATACTCTAATCATACGCATGATAGTAATGGCAAGGTTGTTTTATCCGTCTGACCATGCCTAAAGACTAGACAGCGTTACTATAGTAAGGTGGGTGGAAAAACAAGTTGTAAATCATGTAGGCAACTAAAGATGGGTTGCAAGACTTGTAATAGGTGTCGTGAAGCGGAAGTGCTACGGGAAGAACAAGTATGTGTATAATCATGCAAGAAGAGACGAGAGAGCAATGGGAAGCCAATTATGTGAAGAATGCGGTCATAAAATAAAACACGAAAACTAGGATGCCGATTTCCATCATGCCTTACATCCAATTTCGGAACTGAATATTTGATGAAAGATTTGTTGATGAAATCCGATAACTTCAGGAAAGAAGGCAAATCCAACGACTAATTACAAGCAAAAAATGTGGCAGCCTACGAAAAGCAGAAAAGAGAAATGCGCAAATGATTAAGGGAACAATTTCCTAATGAATGTGTTGAAGACGAACCGCACCCAGAACCTGAGCAATTTAAACCCGATATTGATAAAGTATTCAATCGTTCATCAATCCCTGATAAATGACATGTTCTTAGAAGATGATTTTGGGTTTTTCGGTAAGCATATAGATAGAATACTGATTGAAACTCCTGTTGCTATGTCATAAGTATATTGTACTTGTATTCCTTAAGTTGTTATAGGTTATACCTGCACTATGGTTTTACCTGATCCCTAAACCTTATTCCTGCTGTAGATATTTTATTAGAAATTACCATTCCCATTTTCAAAGGTTTGGGATTTCGGGTTGGGTCTTGTGGGTTTTCTGTGTGAGTATTGGTACATGGAGTTTAGGTTGGGTTTTCGTATGTGGGTCTTCCTATGGTTCCATTTTGGGGATATTCCTACGGGTATTTTGGTGAGTTGGGGAGTGAGGTAGAAGTTGTTATGGTTTGGGTGCTAGGGGGTGGTGAGTTAGAAAATGGAAATGGTCACTGCTAATTTAACACGAGCATCCCTAAACAGGCCCTTTTGTAGTGTTGCTACATTAGGCCTCCAAATGTTCCTCTAATAATGTCACTATAGCAGGCCCCCAAGCCTTGTTCTAAATTATTGAGGCTGCGGTATCAGCCCAGGTATCTTAACTCCACGTACCTGCTGGGAGACTTTATGAGCGGAGGCCTCCGGTGCGTTGACGACTTCGGTGTTTCGAGTTTACTGGTTGAGGGTGTCGGGGTGTTTTGTTACCCTAAACCCTAAACCCTAAACCCTAAACGTTTGGGATTTCGGGGTTTGGGGATTTGGGGTGTAGGGTTTAACGGTTTAGAGGTCCTGTGTTTCGGGATTGAGTTTATATAGGAGTTCAGAGTTCAAGGTTTTGCGTTTTGGGGGGTTGAGGGTTTCGGGTGCTTTACCAAGCAGTTTCTGCAAGCCTGCACCCCACCTCATGTGCAACAAGATCGCGTGCGCATGACATCTGTTGCTGGCGAACGTAGCATTCCCCACAATGATTCCTGTTTGCATGCCTACATGCATACGCGAATACCTGCATATCTCTTGCAAAGCCGCTGCGCTATCTCTGCTTAAAGGATGATTTCTATACGTCCTTCGGCGCACAGCACCGACAGCTGATACGGTCTACGGAGAAACCATAACCCCGGACCTCAATCCTGAAAGCCTCGACCCTAAAGCTTATATAAGCCCCGAGCCCAAAACCTCAGACCCTAAACCCTAAACTTTAAGCCCTAAACACCCTTAAGCCCTAATAAACCTCAGCCCTAAGCTTTAAGCCCTAAACCCCTAAACCCTACACACCCTAAGCCCTATGCTCTAAGCAGCAGATGCAGAATGAAAGCCTTGACCCTTGCAAACACCGACCTCTCAAACCCTAAACCCTAAGCCCTAAACAATAAACCCTAAACCCTAAACCCTAAACCCTAAACCGAATGAAAGCACTGACCCTTAGAGGCACCGACCTCTTTGCCGGGCTCCTGGCCTTGGGCGGCGTCTACGACCTTTGTTCCATGAACGGTGGGATCCTCCCTCCTCGAAGTCCACTTTAAAGGGGTTTAGGGTTTAGGATTTCTGAGTTTAGGGCTTAGGGCTTAAAGAGTTAAGGGTTTGGGATCTCCTAACCCCCAAGCCGCTAAACCTTAAACCCTAAACCCCTAAACTCAACCCCTCTCAACCCTTAGACCCTAAAGCCTTAAACCCTAAACTGTGCCGCGACCAGATCTCCGAAGTAGGATGAATGCAGGGAGTGACAGTCATACAGTCAGTCTTGGTATCCTCTGATCCAGTGAGTTTAGGGATCAGGTCGTTTAGGGTTTAGGGCTCGATGATCAGATGTGGGTAGTTCTCTAAATTAGGGTCCGTTTTTAAGGTTCCCAATATAGTGCACAAAAGCGATCCATAAAGGGACCCGGATTTAGAGAACTACCCAGATGTTGACTTTTGAGCTCAGTGTCTTGAACCTGGCTTGTTTTCGCAGGAGAGCTGCAGAGATATTGGCTGCAGCCCATGCATGTCATGACAACATTAAGACCAAGCCTGCAGAGGCGTCATTCGAATCTGTCAGACTGCGCAAAGCCTAGCTGCTGAGTTTGGGCTTAGATTTCCAGTCCTCATAGGGCTTAGTTTAGAGCTCTGTTCAGTGCAGCCCTCCCTGACGACGCGGATTCGCAGCAAACAGTGCTGCAATGGACAATCCCGATCTCGTCCAGCTGCTCGGACTTTGCATCGGGGGCCTGCAGAGTCTTCGCTTAGGCACTTCGGTTGGTGCTTCGATGGGATGTTTTAGCATGGACTCAGAAGAGTGCGAAGGTGCAGGCAAGGAAGTTTTCTGCATGTGGACCTTCGATCAGCACCGGAAGAAGGGCCTATGCTCATCAGACCTCGGCAAAACAGAGCCCAAAGCCGCGTCTTGTTTTGACATCTGAATCCTGGGCAGGACACTTCAGAAGACCACACATCTGTACTTGCAACCCTCACGCCCCGGCCATGCACACACTGCGAATGTGCAAAAACCTGTAAAGACCTGCGCAGACAACCCACATCTGAGGACCATCAAGCCACCCCCGACGGGGCAGTCGACGGCGTCACAGCGCTCAACGAGGTTGGCATTGCATCGGCCCTGAACCCTTAACTCTACAGCCAGCAGTTTTGGAGAACCACCCGTAAGACATAAGTAATATAGGGACCTAATAATTTACCTATGCTATTTTGGGGTTCCTTAGTATAATTACAGAATAATGGGCCGCAAAACACGGAACCCCAAAAAACGACCCATAAGCGTTGGAGGCATGACCCTGCAAGACCCTTTGTGCCGGCTCGGCTTTGGGGTATCGAAATTCGAAGGGTGAGGGTTTAGGGTTTAGGGTTTAAGACCTTACGATTTCGCATAAAATCCTGGGCCGACCTACCTTTGAAGCAGTCAAACGCGAATCTATGCGATAATAACCCAGAGACTCCAAAACCCCTTAATTAAGGAATATACCTTAAATCATATTAGGGATCCTGCCATAATTTAAGGTATATTCCTTAATCAAGGGGTATGGGAGTCTCTGGGACCCCTCAAAGATGGCACGCCAGTCCTATCTTGCAGATGCGCGCCGGACTTTTAGGGTTTAGGGTTCAGGCGCTGTCCTGCAGAAAGCGCATCCTCAGTTCATTACGACATTAGGCTTATGAGATTGCGAACATTGCTCTAAACTCTGCAAGCCCTCGACCCAAAATCTAAGACCCTACTTCCCCCCATAACCCCAGGGCCTGTGGGTTACCCATAGGCCCCATAGTAGTTCCTTGTTTGGGGTTCATATTTAGAATTCCTATAATTATAAGGTAATCCCGAAAAGGAACTACCCAGAGACTCCAAAACCCCTTAATTAAGGAATATACCTTAAATCATATCAGGGATCCTGAGATAATTTAAAATATATTCCTTAATTAAGGGGTTTTGGAGTCTCTGGGTACTATGGGGCCTGTGGGTTATACTTCGATGGTTCAAGCCAGGTCACGGCGATCGTCAGCTGCGAGCAGCGCAGGCCTGGGAGGAATGGGCCCTAAACCTTCGGTTTAGGGTTTTTGGGTTTAGG